GATATTGCTAAAAAATAAGCAAATATAATTTTTGTAATTTATTTAATCAGACATGCCTAAAAGAGAATTTGTTGCCGAAATACACACACGCACACACACACACACACACACACACACACACACACACACACACACACATATATATATATATATATATATATATATATATATATATATATATATATATATATATATATATATATACACGTTTCGAATTGGTGTATACGGAATAAATTCCAATAAACAACAAATACTATTCTTAAAAAAGTGCTCAATGCTGAGTAGAGAAAATATAATTATTTATTCGAAAATTATAGCATAAATATGTTATAAAATCACTACAGAAATAGCCATTTTGTTTCGACACTTCTGGTGTCTTATGAAGTGATGATGTTGAATGTAGAATAAAGGGTTTTAAAAGGTTATTATATTTTATTATTACATTCTCGAAAGCATGATAATTCCATCCACATACAGGCCTTTTTCGCTATATCACTGCGACTAGACATCCGATTGCTTTAAGCTGGGATCGGAAACCGATCGATATATGGGACGAAATATAGGTGAAGGAAACACACAAGAAATCCCGATTAAAACTTTTTATCGTTAGCCGAGACAACCATTGTTTAGAATTACCCTATCTCTCAACAGTGCTCAACCAAAATTTTTTGAGAGCATATCCAAACGAATTTATTTTTTTTTTAAATGACAAAGTCTCTGTTGATTTTCTCTTTTCTTTTTTTGTATTATCCCAGTTTCGTAATATGGTATCAAACAGACTGATCTTGTCCATTCTTTTTAACCAAACAGCGGCTCATTTAATATGCGGCTCATGGAAATATTCTGGCTGAGCTTTTCATAATTCATCATAATTCTTATAAAAGGTAAAATAAAAAAAATGTCAAGCTTTATAATTATTTACTGGGTATGAATCGAAACCCCATTGGATTAAAACGTAAGTTTAATGTAAATGTGCATGAAATAAAAACATATGTGTACATTTTGTTCATGTCTTGCAGCTCTCAAACATCTGAACTTTATCGTATGTGGGTTTTAGATTAAGAAAGTTTGGCTACCCCTGTTCTATACAGTACTTCCTCAATTCTTCAGACATCTGACGACAAGTTTAAAAATATGAAGATCTAAAAATAGTTCCAAAGGAATATTTTTTGGCCGAGCCTGCGGGCTCAGAGAAACCACGTTAAACTCGGGCTTGTACCACATAAATCCCTCGTGAGGAAGGGGCTGTTAAATATTAACAATTAGAATGTTATCGTAAACCAGAAACAGTTTCTAAAGGAAGCTTTTATAAATGCACTAGCAGTAGATCCCGGCGTTGCCCGGGGATGTAACAGTAAGAGATAGATCAAGTATCGACCATCATAAAGACTGTTTAAGGTTGACGGACATGCATGTCATAATTAATTTCTTTTTTTTTTTACGAATTGGTCAAACCCAAACTCAAACAAAACCATTGTTTTCAATCGTTATGAGTCGGCCGATCGAATAGAATTTTATTATAAACAGTTGTCTTGTAAATGGAATTTTTAAAGCATTCTGAATGTAAAAATAAAGAAAAAGTGTGCAAGACAATAAGAAACACTACCTGCCAAAAAAAAAGTGAAGTTTTGTTGAAATCGGTTGAAAGAAGTAGGAAATCCGATCCCATATATAAACGAAAACACACACACACAACCTGGGTTTTATAATAAGTATAACTCGATATGAGTTGTCCTCCTTTCATTCTCGCGACAGCGATGCCTCTTAATCGTGTTTTCAAATTGATTTCGTGCAAAAACAATTGTGTTTTTCCAATTTTTTCGCGCTGTCAGAACCACCGCAAGGTAATTTTACGTAGTCCTGTGAAGTTTTGTTGAAATCGGTTGAAAAATGTAGGAAATCCGATCCAATATATAAACGAACACACACACACACACACACACACACACACACAAAACCTGGGTTTTATAATAAGTATGATTAGAATAATGACAAACTTTCCTCTTCGAAATTTTATTTATTCCTTTTTGTTCGAATAAATTGGCGCACAAAATGTAGTCAACACAGACACACGGCAAATTCAGACACACCGAAATATTCACGCGGACAACTCTCACCGTAGATCAAAGACGCCGACCAAAGTCAGTCTTACAGCGGCTACTATCATTACAATTAAAAAAAAAAAAAAAAAAAAAAAACAACTTTTAAAAAGTGAGAAATTATCTTTTATACTCGGGGTAGCCAAACGGCGGCTCGCGAGCCATGTGCGGCTCTTTTACCTTTAATATGCGGCTCTTGGGGACTGAGCTCCCTTTATTTCCAACTGTTAATATAAAAGGTAAATAAGAAAAATGTCAAGCTTTATAATTATTTACAGGGTATGAATTGAGACACCATTGGATTAAAACGTAAATTTAATGCTAATGTGTATGTAACAAAAACGTATGTGTAAATTTTGTTCATGTCTTGCGGCTCTCAAACATATGAACTTTATCGTATGTGGCTCTCAGATTAAGAAAGTTTGGCCACTCCTGTTATATAAATATATGAGTTTGTTAATGTGTGTGTGTGTGTGTGTGTGTGTGTGTGTGTGTGTGTGTGTGTGTGTGTGTGTGTGTGTGTGCAGTATAATTGTTGTTACGGAAAAAAAGGGAAATCGAAAAGCTCAAATTTCGAACGGCAACCCACTCTTTCTTCGTCGGCGACATATCTCCCCACCGGCTGTCTTTCCTCCTCCGGTTGCACGATATTGAGGAAACTGCTCGCAGCTGGCTCAAATAAATCGCCGATTTCTCTTTGTTTGCCTTCCTTCATATTTTGCGTTTGCATTCCACACATTTTGTGTTACATAATCTGATCCTTCCTCACATCACCTGTTAATAAACCATTTTTTTTTATTTTCTGGGTCAAACAACTAGGTCACAAGTGACCCCAGCTTAACGGCATAGAATTTTCGAAACTGCATTGAACAGATGATCATCTTAATCTGCAGGTTAAAATGATGGACATTCATAAATATGATTGTGGGGCACTTCGACGTGGTGTAATGGCTCACAAGCCTCGCTTGATCATCTACAACCGACTATTGAATTCGATTCTCACTGTGTACCGATTACTTACATCCTTTTGCCGCATCTAAGCAATGCTTATTAAATGCATGAGCATTTCGACGTGGTGTAATTGCTAACAGGCTTGTCTCATCATATCAGTTACGATGCACAATAAAAATGGCACATGTAGAAATGTCACGGTAAAAATAGCACAGGTGAAAATGGCACAAGTGAGAAAATAGGAGAAAAATGGCACAAAGCGAAAACAAAGAAAACATATGTTGATCTACAAAAATGGCTAACACATTTAGGCAGTGACTACACAGAAGGCAGGAAAAAATTGGATCAGCTGTTAAGCGAACTTTGTCACAACGTAAGATTTTAGTTTATTTTTTTTTGCTTTTAAATGTAGATAATTTTTTTTAATTGACAAAATAGATACCAGGTGCATTTTATTTTTTTACTTTTTTTTTTTTTTTACTATTTTGCCACTTGTTCCATTTTTATCCATATCTCTCTCTTATATATATATATATATATATATATATATATATATATATATATATATATATATATATATATATATATATATATATATATATATATATATATATATATATATATATATATATATATATATTCCTTCAGTATCAGTATATATATATATATATATATATATTCCTTCAGTATCAGTTTATATTTCTAGATCAATACCTTTTTTATGGCACAGTGGATAAAGGCGTTGGTTAGATCCAATGACAGGACCCAAAGAGTGTGAGTTCAATACCCGGTTAAGGCAGTGGGGAACCTTCAGAGGAGAATTAACAGGAGATAACTGATAACTGACGTCCAGTAAACAATCTACCCCAGTGAGCGAAATAAAGGGTTCAGTTCGACATTCCAACCACCTGAAGAAGCCGGAGCGTACAACGAATAAATATGGCGACAAAGATGAGGACAATAGTCCAAATAATGTAAATAATATATAATCCTCTTTACAACCTTCGAAATATTGGTTAACAAATCATGTTTCTCTTCCCTCAAAGTAGTGTCATGAATTAGTATGGAAAATTTGAGCGATTTTTGGGAGCAGAGAAAAACATTAATTTGCAAATATTTTTTTCATTTGTTACCCTCTTACTTAATTTTAGGTATTTTTTAATTTCTAGATAAAGGCAGAACAGAATGAAATAGATAAGAATAGAAATAGCTTTTCTCGTCAGAATCCATCTTGCATATTCTGAAATCTACCATTCGCCTGTAAAATAAAACTATGTCATTATTTAATCCGAAAAGCTTTGAATTGATTTTACAAATAAAATATATTATGGTCACTATTGTCTTAAGACAAAATTTCGATGAATAATGAATTCTTGCAAGAACTGCTTTCAGTTTTTTTAAATTTTAATTATAATAATTCATAAACTTTTAAATCTATACAATCCTGTATGAATTTGTAGCGGTCATGTGATATTAAATCTCTAATATATTTACGAATTGTAAATGGAAACTTCACTACAATTCAGCGAACACAGTATTTTAAATATGATTTTGAATTTGTTTTATTTTCCTATGAATGTGCTGATTTTTGTAAATACGGACGCTCATACACGACATTATCAGAAAATAAGAGCGATAACTGTAGGAAATTTAAGATTTATTGCGGATTTTCTGATATTTCCTCAATATGCATCTAAAAACTATAAAGCGAAATTAATTAGAATACAATAAAATATTAGAATACTAAAAATATTTGATTGTTTTAAAATTACTCGGTTGTTTAATGAAATTATATAGCGAAATTGCTACAAGTTTACACTGATCGCAAAATACAAATTTGTACGTGCATTTCAGAGGCAACAGTCGTATGAGACTCCATGGTGATAAAATCCAAAAATGTTCTTCGAAATTTCCGCAGATTCTCGCCAGTATAGATTAATACTTATATGAATGGATCATAAAACTTCCAGATGCTTTGAACTGCCTTCCCTTGTAGACAAACCCCATCGCCTCACAACAGCCGCATCACGGCAGATCTTCGTACGTTTTCTTTTTCAAACGACAGACTGATCTCGCTGTCTCTCTGTCTTTCATAGGATTTGCCTATAAACCACGGCGGCCATTTACTCGCGAATAGGCGTATATTTACTTTTCATTTGTCTATCCGTCTTTCCGACTATGTTTACATCTGATCGTTTATCGCAAGTTTGATCTTCATATTGCCAAATGAAAACGTAAACTTTGAAGTGCTTACATTCCTTCGACATAGGATGGAGTTGCTGTCAAACTCGGACAAGTGGTCGAGAGGAGGAAAAATAAAACTGTAGATTAACAGGCAAAAGAAAGATACAGATTTCGTGCTGATTAAAGCTTGAAGCAACTGAAGAAAAATATCTATCTATCTATCTATCTATCTATCTATCTATCTTATTCTGTTCATATCTATCAATCTCATTTAATTCCTATCTATCTATCTATCTATCTATCTCATTCTGCTCATGTCTAACAATCTCATTCTATTCCTATCTATCTATCTATCTATCTATCTATCTATCTATCTCATTCTGCTCATATCTAACTAACAATCTCATTGTATTCCTATCTATCTATCTATCTATCTATCTATCTATCTATCTATCTATCTATCTATCTATCCGTATAATTCTCTTCTTATTTATCTATCTCATTCTGTTCACATCTATATATCTATCTATCTTTTTTTTCTTTCTTTTTTTCAATCATTTCACCCCAGTCACGATGCCACTGGTACGCAGAGGGGTTACACAGAGTGACGGTGGCTAAAAAGACTGGGTAAGAGAAATCGAAGTAAATTATAAAAGCTGAATGGGGTTCAAGTTGATAGAAGATGGCGTTTAACGTTGCATTTAAATTTTTGAAGATTGTAGTTATCAGGGAAGCAAAGAAACGGAAGGAGTTCCACACGCTGGATGTGCGAGAAAAGAAAGTTTTGGAGTAGAAGTGATGGTTATATTTAACTAATTCAACATTGAAAGGGTGGGACCGAGATGCCAGTCTAGTAGCACATTTAAACTCATGTAAACCGGCACCAGGCGAAAAAAAAGCTTCTCAGAGCAGTTGCCATGAAAGTATTTGTAGAAAAGACAGAGGGAAGCCATGTCACGTCGTTGAGAAAGAGACTGAAGTCGAGATGCCATGTCAGGATTACATTGCAGATCTTTCTTTAGATTTTGTTAAGAACATCAAGATGAATAACAGGAGCACCTCACCGGATATGGCAACAATATTCAATGCACAGGCAAATGGTAGATTTCAGAATATGCAAGATGGATTCTGACGAGAAAAACCCTTTCTATTCTTATCTATTTCATTCTGTTCTGTTTTTATCTATCTATCTATCTATCTATCTATCTCAGCCTATTCATATTTATCTCAGCCTATTCATATCTATCTCAGCCGATTCGTATCTATCTATCTATCTATCTATCTATCTATCTATCTATCTATCTATCTATCTATCACTGTTTGTTTGTTACTTTATATGCATGTATGTATGTATATAAATATGTATGTATGTATGTACCTGTTTAACTATCTATCTCTATCTGTCAGTCAGTTTATATATGTATCAATCTTAGTTTGATCTTGAGCATAATAGCCTGATACGTTTTCTCCAAGAAAATCTATCTATCTATCTATCTATCTATCTATCTATCTATCTATCTATCTCATTCTGTTCATATCTATCTAACTTATTATCTATCTATCTCAATCTGTTCACAACTATCTTCTGTTATGTCTTCATTGTATTGAATGAATATAACACAAAGTGTAGTATGTCGCTTGCTGAAACAGATAAGCTAGATGTCTAACTCTTTACTTGTTTACTCTTTCTGCTGAGGATTCTCGGAGTCAACCTATAAGTATTTAGATGAGTCCGAGTCCTCTTTTGAATACCGACATTACTATTATCTGTTGATGCGTGGAGTAATCTGTCAGCGATAATTCTGTAGTAGTTTTTTAATTCCTTCCAAAGTTTTTTTTTTTTTTTTGTGTGATACTCCGCCGACTAATTCCATTTTGTACACTTCTTAAGTCAATTATTCAGAGATGCTCGCAATTTTTACATTTCTGGAACATAGCTATAATAATTTGCTAATCTAAGAAATGATTATGGGGTCACCAAATTTGTCGGAAGAGGGCTGTCTTTAATAGCACTTGCTCAAGCGGGATCTGATCTTCATCCTTTTTCGTTGATTATCTGATCGATATATTTAAGCTTGTCCAGAAGGAATTGACATTTTTGGTCCCTGGTTTTGAAACCGGAATCATGTCATCTTTGAAATTCTTCGTGAATCAGTTTTACGCGTTGCACGTCCTGGGTATGAAGATAAACTACATCCGCGTCCAGGGTAAGACGATAAACTACATCCGCGTCCTGCGTATGACGATAAACTACATCCGCGTCCAGGGTAAGACGATAAACTACATCCGACAGCAAGGCCTCTAATCATGAGGTTTTGAGGAGCGTGGAACCACCTCTTAATTGCTGGTGTTCCCAGGTCAACCCTGACCCGGAATGATAGCACCTGTTAGGGTCCCAGCTATGGGTAAATAGTTAACCCAGAAACTGAGGTAAAAGGCATTATAAAAGTGTAAAAATAGGTTTTAATACCAGAGATAATTTCTAAAAATTATTACCAGAAATGAATTTCTGAGGAAAGAGAAAAACTATTACCAGCAATACATTTTTGGAAAGATATTACCAGCGATACGTTTCTGGAAAAATAATTTTACCAGCTATACGTTTTTCAAAAATAATATTACCAGCTGTATGTTTTTGGAAAAATGATATTACCAGCTATACGTTTTTGGAAAAATAATATTACCAGCTATACGTTTTTGGTAAAATATTATCAGCTATAGGTTTTTGGAAAAATAATTTTATCAGCTATAGGTTTTTGAAAAAATAATACAGGGTGTCCATAAAGTTCGTGTGCACTTTAAAAATTATAACTTTATTTGTATTTGCGACAGAAATAATCTGTAATAAATGTTATAAAGTTTAATGTACGTAGTTTTAAGTAGAGCTAAAATAACTAATTTGATTTCAGGCATTACTGTAAATCAGTGTGCAAATGTTTTCCGTGAACTGCAAAATCGTATTACCCTTTGTATTGCTAATGATGGAAGACATGTGGAAACTTAAATAAAATTTCAATAAAACCTTAAAAAGTAGAGCTTTACTTCTTTCTAATCCTTTTTACAAATTATTTCTATCGCAAATACATATAAAGTTATAATTTTTTAAAAGTGCACCCGAACTTATGGACACCCTGTATTACCAGCTATACATTTTTGAGGAAAATATTAACAGAATTAGATTTTTGACAAAACAAAAATATTATAAAAAAAAAAAAAAGAAAGTTGTCGGCATTAAATGACCCATTGAGGTTGATATATAAAAAAAAAAAAAAAAAAAAAACAAATTTACGTGCTGCATTTCCGTAGCACTCTTAAAAAGTATATCATTTATGTAAGCGATTGTACCGTCTAATTCAACCAACATCGTAGCCATTATTTGCTGAAAAACACTTGGGGCTACTTTTACACCAAAGTGTAATCTTTAAAACTTATAAAGACCTTTATGCGTATTAATAGTCAAAAAGGTCTGGTATTCCTCATTCACTTCGATTTGAAGATATACCTCAGACAGCTCAAGGACACTTCGAGGCGGTGTAAAGGTTAGCAAGCTTGTCTTGCTAGAACAATTGTGACTGAGAAGTGAGTTCGATCCTGAGTGCCTCAAACTTTCGGCCTTGTGCCACATCTAAACTACACTTAGAAAATTACTATACCTTTATTCAAATCTACAAATCAACCATTCGCCCTTGCATGGAGTATTGCTGCCATATATGGTCCGGAACCCCTTCTGTTTGTCTCAAGGTCCTTGATAAGATCCAGAGACAGGATATGCAATGTAATTGGCCCTGATCTGGCATCTCGTCTGAAGTCTCTCTCTCACAGACGTACCGTCGCCTCCCTCTGTCTTTTTTACAAATACTTTCACGGTAAACTGCTCCGATGAGCTGCTTTCGCTGGTTCCCAGACTTCATGAATTTAAGCGTTCTACTAGGCCAGGATCTAGCTTTCATTCTTTCACTGTCGAAACTGTTAAATGTAACCGTCACTTCTACTTCAATAGCTTCATGTATCGCACCTCTCACCTGTGGAACTCCCTTCCCTCTTCCAGTTTCCCTGATAGCTATAATCTACAACTATTCAAATGTAATGTCAATCGACGTCTCCAGATGCCCTGATCTATCCTCTATCCTTCTCTTCATCCTTTCATCTATCATTCCTCTTTGCTCTCGTTCCAACTCTCTGTAACCCCTTGCGTGCTAGTGGCTTCCCGTCTTGCTTGGGGTGAAACGCTTAAGAAATACCTCACACAGGTCAATTTTGGAAAAACATTACTAACATTTCATTTGGCAAATACAGTGATGTTCGATGAAAGAGACTCACCTGATTTTTTTTACTAAAAATATTTTTTGTCTATTGTTTTTGGGGTTAAAATAATTTTTAATCTTACTAATATAAAGACTCCTTCCCGACCACCTTTGAAAATTTTATTCACCCTAAGGTATTCGATTGATAATTATAAATTTGGATATAAATGAGATTCAGGAAAAAACTTTGTGCAAGAAATGTGACTCAGATATCGCATTCTAATGATTAAACTGGTAAATTTAAAGAGCTTTTGACAAAATATTGAAAACTATTTTACAACACACTCAGAACAGTAATCTAGAGAATTCTAAAACAGCTTAAATTAAATCTAGAGTATTCCAGAATATCCCAGAAAGCCTCATACAATATTAAAACAGCTTAAAATAGCCACTCAAGTCACTAACCAAATGAAAGGGTACAAACACGCATCAGAACCACTTAAGGCATCTATTATTGCCCTCTCAAAAGCAGGCAAGCCTACTAGAGAAATTGAAGAAATTTCTATAACCTCGCAATCAACTGTCTCTCGAGTGCTTAGAGCACATAATGATGCCACTCCTGCTGCAAGGACGGAAACAAGGGGAGAAAAGGAAAAGATTGATGATAGAACTGGCAGGGTAATCAAGGGAGAAGTTGCGAAGAATAGGATTATAACTAGCCAAGAAATTGCAGCCAGTCTAAGCGAAGAGCAAGGTGTTAGTCTTGCCTCTTCAACAGTCCGTCAGAACAAGGTTACAAATCTTGTTAGAACAAGGTTGTACACGAAGGTTTTAGCCGCTAATAAGCAAAGCCAAATAAGCCAAGAGACTTGAATAGGCTTACTATTACAAAAATTTCACCATAGAAGACTGGAAGAATGTTCTCTTTTCCGATGAAACGAAAGCTGAGCTAAATTCAAAGGATAAGGTGAGTCATTTTATCGAACAGTACTGTATATCCTCTGGGGTTGATAGGGGACGTACATGTGGTAAAAAGCAGTCATTCAGTCTAGCTGAAAAATTTGCACATAAACGAAATTTATTATCCGTCTTTTTAATATAAACCGCTGGTGTGGTCAATTCAGAATAATCTGTTTTTTTCAATAACTCCGCCATTTTTTAACCTGTCCAGTTCGGTGTTAATGGATTCCAACGTAGCAAAGAGTATCGTTTTTCTTTTAGGCTAAATTACTGGTATTACATTTTCTTTTACTTTAAAAATTGCCTTTGACTTTATACATTTTCCCAACTCCTGAGAATATATCCATGAATTTATTTTTAGTTTACACATTGATTCTTTAGCTGTGATCTTTTTCCCTCACGAACAATCAATTTTTCCACAGAATGAATTAATCGGCCAGTTCAATAGATCAAATAATTCTAGCCAATCGACGCCTAGCAAATTCGAGTTGGAATTTTTATAGTACGTAAACATCTGCTTTTTTAGTTTTACCCGCAATGGCGATGTTACAGGTGATTTTCCCAAGAAAAAATATTTTCTTGCTCAATATTCTTCTCGCAACTTTGTCATTTTTTCTCAAGTTACGCTTGCCAAATCTGTTCTAACTTTATTCATCAATAATTATAATACCGCTTCCAGTGTCCAATTGAATCTCACCATAGCATTATTTAATTGTACTGTCAGGAATTGTTTGTTGTTTGAACTTTTCAGTTTTTAGCTGGAACAACTACTTTCAGCAAGTTAATTCGTGCATTTGTTTTGTTTTTCGATTTGCAGTAGTTTTTGATCCGTTTTTCTATACTTAAAACATTTTTAGTTTTAAACGGACAGTCCTTTCTGAAATGAAGCATACTACATCCATAGCAGTGATTAAGTTTTACAGTATTTTTATCCTGGATTTTTCTTTTGGTACTACTGTTTTTACTTATCCATTTGTACTTATGTCTTGCCATTTTACTCGATTTTCGCTCTATCGTATCTTAAATTGACAAATTTTGGCACTCTTCCGCAACAGTCTCTATTGTTAAGTTTGAATCTTGTTCAAGTTTTGTAAGTATTTGAGAGTGTATTTCCGCATCTTTACTTGATGCCAGACCTTTAACAAAAATTAAACATTTAAATTTGTCTGGGTATAATTCATCCAATTTAAATTTCTTATACTCATGGTTGACTTTACCGGCATATGTGACAAAATCTTCACTTTCTTCATTAGTAAGGTTCATGCACTGCAAACTTGTATAAAACAGTGAATACTTTTAAACAAAGATTTTCGATAATATCGACACGGTTCCGTAATAGAAATGGTACCTTCTTTTCATCCGACCATCCTTGACATTCTTCTCTGAAAATGACTTCGTACCTTCTGAAGTACGATAGGAATGTAATGTTTTATTCTCGGACGTAATGAAACACACTAACTGCGTTACTGACTGAATCCGGTGAAAATGAAATTGACACACTGACTGTTCCGTGCTTTTCCAGGATTGCTTTTATCTGTTCTTGATATTCAATCCGTTGCCATTGCATTTGTTGTAGCAGCTGTTGAATAAATATCTTCAATTCTTCCATAGTATATTTAATTCGTACTAGTAGTCATTAACTAGGAATAAAAAAGGTAATTGTTTTTTTTTCTAAAAGCAGTATATCATACACACTTGAAGTTTATCGGCTTCCGCGTCAGGCTGTGAATAATTACGAACTTCACCAAATATTTTTTCATGAATTTTGAATTTCGCCAGATATTGGTGCTAAGCGATAGGAAACAATTTTTTTTGTGTGTGAATTCGCATTCTCGTGGTCACTGCTATGTTTTCATTGCGTTGAATATAGATAACGCATTCAAGAAGTAATATGTTGCTTAAAGTCGATGGAGTTTTACTGAAATATGTAGTAAGCAGATAAGCTAGATGTCTATCACACTTCTTGTTTACTCTAACGATAGTCGGTGTCAGTTTATATGCATTTCGTCGAGTCCACGTCCTCTTCTGGAAAGATGTGTTCATCTCCACAACACTATCTATCTATCTATCTATCTATCTATCTATCTATCTCGGTCTGTTCCTATCTAGCTAGCTATCTCGGCCTGTTCATATCTATCTATCTATCTATCTATCTCTGTATGTTTACATCTATCTCAGTCTGTACATATCTATCTATCTATCTATCTATCTATCTATCTGTCACTGTATGTTTACATCTATCTATCTATCTATCTATCTATCTATCTATCTATCTCAGCCTATTCATATATATCTCAGCCTTTTCGTATCTATCTATCTAGCTAGCTAGCTAGCTAGCTAGCTGTGACGTCATCCCCGGCCTCTCCGCGCCCGTGCTATCCTGTGACGACCAATGGGACTTGGTATTGGTCGCGGCTGATTCGGATGGGAATCTGGTTAGATTCGGTATCAGCTTGTCGTTCCCAGCTCGCATCCAACGTCTGATTACCGAAGTAACTGCTTTGATTTCTAGTCTAACCTAGCCACGTTGTGATTTGATCTGAGGTAGACGAAATCAATCAGTCGCCGGGCCGCAATGCAAGCCGAGTCCGAGCAAAGTTAACACCGCACAAATATATGCAAAAGAAAATAAAGTAACAACTCGAAAAGTTCAAATGTGTTAAAACAGAATAACAAATATTTTTATATCTGGTTGCTGAATACAGGACTGATTCTTTCTCCCAAACCGCTTCTATGGATACGTGACACTTTGCGTTTGTTAGGCGAGTCTTGTTTTTCGATAACTGGTTTTTTGTATCTTCAGGCGATATTCGCAAAACTTGTTTTGGTGGTGTGAGTTTAAGTCGTTCTTCAAAAATAAATTGTTCTTGGTTAGAAGTCGAAGTCAGAATGCGTGGATATCTTCAGTCAGCTTCCTGCGAGGCTGGTCTCAGAGCTCACAGCTCAACTCTGTCTGCGTCTCTCCAACTCCAACTGCAACTACTTTACTAACTTGCTGCGATTCTGCTTATATGGACACCGACCAAAACCGGGTGTGGGCTTGTCGGGGTTTGAGTTCCTCGATAATTCTAAATCCACAATATGGATTTTCTTTGTTTTCGGACTGGAAAATTTATCACTTTCCATTTTTGGAAGTCCATTACTTTTTGCTTTAGAAGGGTTCTTAATGGTATCGTCCTCCCAAATTCTTCCTTTCTCATATTGGTATCTCACACCAATCCCCTCAGAGGCGTCAACAGGCCTCCCTTCTCTCTCACAGTGGCATCACACACCAATCCCCTCAGAGTCGTCAACAGGCCTCCCCTCCTTCTCATATGTTTACCATTATTACTCAAAGGCAAAAAAAAATTATCTTTTTTTTTTCTTTTCTTCCTTTTCCCGACATCAAACCCCTACGACTCGTAGTGTGGTCCTTAATCTCTATTTTAACCGAATGTCACCTGGACTTTAATAACAAGATTTTCGCCAGCGTCAAGTGGGTGGTTAACTGGACGTCTCCGCACTCTGTCGCTAATTATCTCTCTCGGTAACAAACTCTTATCATGGCCAGGTCTAACATAAAACAGGTGTTATTCCCAAAATCAAATGATATCTCCGAAAGATAGTTAATGGTTTTTTTTCTTCCATTCTTCTTGGGTGGCCTCAGCTGATGCCTTTCTCGGTCAGTGCGTGACCTGATTAACATTATCTCCCAGCTTCTGTTTCGTAGGCCACTTGACCAATTTGAAATTTTCATTATTGCCATGGGCAGATGGCTATCTTTTATTCGCCGCCTCGTAGCATAAATTAATTCGACAGATCCGAGATCTTACGAATTTCCTATCTTCTGCGAAAAAAGTACTTTTCTTTGCAAATGAAAATAAAATCTTTACCACTTTTCTTTGTTAAAAAAATAACATCGCTCAGTATGTCTTTTCGTGATAGCTTCTTATCGCCTTAATTATTTCTCGCATTTAATTTTCACGCGACCGCTAAATCGTGTCACATAATACTGTTTATTAACACGCTCTCCCTCTATCTATCTCTCTATTTCATCATATTCTTACCTATCTATCTATCTATCTATCTATCTATCTATCTATCTCAGTATATTCATATCTATTTACCTGCTCGCCATTGCAAGTACAATTTTGGTGGCACAAGTCAATTTCCGCGTGAATTTTGATTTGGAAAGAAATGCCTGTTGTTGTATTTTGTTGTTCTTACACGGAGATGCTTCAAATTTATATTAGCAGTTAATACCTGAGTGATGGCGTTTTATACTACAAGCAAAATTTATTGTGCAAATAAGAACCAGTTCTGGGAGATGATTTCAAAATTTTTGAATTTCAGAAATTTGGGGCAGAAATTTAAAACTTAATATTCTTAACATATTTATTTTTTCTTTGAATTTAGTATAAGAATATTATTTTTGCTTTCATTGTAATTTTTACAAAGAGAAAATAAAATTAAACATTTTAAAAATAGCTTTTAGAAAGAAAGACATAAACTTGCTCATAAAAAATGCTATCTTCAATGTGAACAGCAATATCAAAGAAAATATTAAATGAAATTTATGTGACAAATAATAACAGATTCTGAAATAAATTTTGTAGTATAAAAACAAAATTATGGTGAAGAAATATCCGTTAAAAATTAGGCATAGGAAAACATTATTAAATCTGGTATCTTGTGAGTTATTATAAGAAATTAGTATAAGAAGTTATTATAAGAAGTTATTATAAGAGGTATTATAAGATTTACTATAAGTTATTATAAGATTTATTAGAAGTTATTATAAGAAGTTATTATAAGAGTTGTAAGAAGTTATTATAAGAAGTTATTATAAGATTTATTATAAGAAGTTATTTATAAGAGTTATTATAAAAAATTATAATAATATTTATTATAAATGTTATTATAAGAAGTTATTATAAGAGTTATTATAAAAAGTTATTGTAAGAGTTATAAGGAGATATTGTAAGAAGAAATTCTAGAAAATTTTGGGTTAATTAAATTTCAAATCAAGTAAAATTACGCATTTTTCCATTAGGGGTTACCTTTAGATATTTTTCTATAATTTTGTGGTGTAAAAAGTTGACAATTTTTATTTGTCATGAAGAGAAATACAGAGAAAGCAAAAAATAAGGCTCATCGTTAGGTATTTGCTTTTATGAATAAAAATTTCTTAGAGAAATATATTGAATGGAATTTAACTGAAAATAAACTTCAAAGGGACAAAACCAAGATTCCTAAATTAATACTTTTAGCGAATGTTGCTAAAACTGTTTGTTTTTGCAAGGAAAACATAAAATAATATAGCAAGTTTGAAGGAAATTAAATATATTAAACTTATCCAGACTTTAATTAAATAAGCTTAAGTTATTACAAACACAAAAGCACAAACTTTCTTGAATTTCTTAAGCCGACTAAAGCTGGAAACTACTAAAAAACAAAAACAAATTAAAAAAATCAGACTAAAATGTGACGTTCCGAGTAGAAAGAGATGCGTTTGAAATAGTCATCCAGTTCAAGCAAGTGTTTGCGTCATAAGCAGGTATGTGATATAGAAAGTCACAGCTCGATAAAAAAAGAAAAAAAAGGAAAACAAAACTTGTAAACAGGTAAGTTAATTGAAAAAAATAATTCATATATATATATATATATATATATATATACATGAATCATTCATACAAAGAACAAATATAGAGGTTAATGATTTAAATGGCGAGAATACATCTTCGCAAACAATTTCAATAAGATACACTAACCCCGAACCTGTATATGAATGATATGATCCCTGTTTATAAATTCCAGTTGCATAAGGTCTTTTTTTAGTTTTTACAAGCTTTCGTCTGTTCCTACAGACATCCTCAGATATAGAAATAGATTTGTTCTTGTTTTTTACTTCTCGGTAATAAGAAGACAACGAAAATATAGACGCACTCCGAAAAAATGCTATGAGAAATGTGTTATTGTTTTGGAACGTGCGGTCGCAACGCTGAGTTTGAATTTTAAATTTTAAGGTTGTGCGTTTTTGTACAAATATAGTAATAAGAGAATAAGGTACAAAAGAATTCTCTTATTACTTTTTTGTATGAATGATTCATGTAATTATAAATTGAGCTGCACCTATAATCGAAATTAATATATATATATATATATATATATATATAAATATATATATATATATTGATTGAAAAGAAGAAAGAAACCGCAAACATTTTGGTTATAATGCGATTTTTAAAAAAAAATATATATTATACATTATTTTCTAAATTTTGCTACACGTGTTTCCAGTCTCGTGACCTTCATCAGGCAAAGAGTGGTTATTTCCACATATTATAAAAGGAATTAATTTTCCTTATGTTTTCGATGTATAAACATTGTCTTTTGTCTGTAGTAGTAAACCAAATGTTTTTCTTAGACTGATAGGGAAAGTATTCTTCTATTTAATGGGTAAAAAATCAATCAGAATGGGTCAGAGAAAGAGCGAAGGAGGGTCTTCATTCTTATCTTTTTATGACCCTGTATCTTCTAACCCCATTTTTGTGTGTTGTGTGTGCCTGTGTGTTTTTGCAAGTATCTGTATGCATATTTCTTCTCCATACATATATACTATCTTATTGTAAGGAATTAGTGTATATATGTGTGTGTGTGTGTGTGTGTGTATTAGGGAGTGCGAGTGCGTTTGTGTCTATAGAATTGTGATATAATAGTATTCGTAAAAAGTGAAGATAATGAAATAAAATGGAAAAGATATAAACGTCGCGTTTCGCCAAGAGTGTCAGCTTTCTCTGATTTCTTCAGGTTAGAATGAAAGAAAGACAAAACTGTATGTAAGGGAAAGCCGTCGGGATCAATGAGGATAAGTGGGGAGCCTAAACCACATAACCTTATAGCATCAATGGGCATATCCCAGAGATTGTCTGTATGCTGTTTGTGTTACACACGCACACACGCACAAATATATATATATATATGTGTCTGTGTGTGTGTTTGTGTGTGTGTCTGTGTGTGTTTGTGTGTGTGTCTGTGTGTGTTTGTGTATAAAATATGGGCATTCACTAAAAATAACGTTTAATTAATAAAATCCATCTTCTTCAGATATATATATGTGTGTGTGTGTGAATATATATATATATATATATATATATATATATATATATATATACACACAGACATATATATATATATATATATATATATATATATATATATATATATATATATATATATATATATATGTATATATATATATATATATATATATTACAGCCGTTTGCTATTGGATTTTGAATCAATTTGCCGAAACTAGTTATTGTGTATATACTTATACATA